TKWTWAGGCATCAGYTCTGRCGACCCAGATGGGACAAGGAGACTSCTGAGAATCCTCTGGACCGAGTAAGATCCAATCCCYKCCCCTTGGCTTTGGGGRGTGGMCACTGCGGTCCAAGYRGTGCCRGAGTCCAATCCTGAGGCATCARAGCTACACTCSAAGAAACAAACATCAGCCTCTCTGGAGCAGGAGCTTCAACACAACTGGTTAAAAACAGACCCACTGTCTGGCTGGATAATGAAGGGATCACAGGAAACAGCTTAGATTACTTGCTTCAGTTTGCCAAGGATCTTTTAGGGCCAAGCTTTCTTTCAGAARTGTACAGTTCCTTGTGTGTTTTCTCTATAAATCCCCCATTATCTCCTCAGCACAGAAATAATGCCTGTGACATACACAGGCTACAGCCAAAGGTCACTGAGAAGACTCAGGTGTTATTCCTTCCTCTCTACCTGCAAATAATGAATTTGGGAGCTGGCCCTCCATGTTCCAGCTGTGCCTGTGGGGATGTTTCTAACTGCAGAGCTGAGTACCTTATCAATTTTGGGTTGGTCACAGCCAGCATTAGTTAGTCACGTGGAGGATGTTGTTAGAATTGCTGGACAATGCCAACAAAGATAAATGTTTGGGGTTTTTAGCAACAGCTCACTGCTTCTTCAGTTTCCTTCTTAATGAAGGTCCTGTATCTTCACTTGCATCAGCCATCAAAAAATGAAGCAATATTGCTGGAATATAAGCAATATAAGGCTGGAAACTCCTTGGCAGCAGCTCCTGTAGTGCAGGGGATCTGAACCCATGAATGCCCTCAGCAGCACAGAGCACAGGATGGGTCACCTTGAACAGATCTTTCAAGGAAAACAGGGGTGCCTTCACAGCACCCAAACAGCACAGARCACACCATGGCACCCTAAACTGCAAAGAGCTGCTCTGAAGAGCAAAAAGCTACTCCAAACAGAGCAGAGCTACTCTAAAGGGMATACAGCTTGAGACTAAATTGGGAAAACAGACAAGGTTTGAGATTTTGCAATCAAAGGGCAGGAGATGTGGAAGAATCCCATCTGAATTCCTGTTAATACAACTCSTTCAGCTCAGAATTTCAGGTGAGGTGCTTATGTGTGTAATGCTATTTATGTCCTTGGAAGTTTGTTGCGTGTCAGGCAATGGTTCTGGAGGGAGCTGGCAAGYTGTACTTTCCTACAAAGTACTGCACAACACAGTGACAACTTCAGTTTCACTTGGCAAGGAGCTTGGCCAACCTGAAATGGAGTCCTCCAGGGTGTCTTTCCTTCACTTGTGGAACACAGAATCATGGAATCCCAGACTGGTTTGGGTTGGAAGGACCTTAAAGTCCATCCAGTCCCACCCCCTACCATGGGCAGAGATATCTTCCACTATCCCAAGTTGCTCCAGGCCCCATCCAACCTGGCCTTGGACACTTCAGAGATCCAGGGACAGCCACAGCCTCTCTGGGCACCCTGTGCCAGGGCCTCCCCACCCTCACAGGGAAGAATTTCACCCTAACATCTCATCTAAACTTGTGCTCTTTCAGTTTAAAACCATTGCCCCTTGTGCTGTGACACTGTGCCTGCATAAAAAGTCCCTCTCTGTCCTTAACCCTCTTCAGGCCCTGACAGGGGCTCTGAGGTCTCCCCATGTCCTTCTCCTCTCCAGTAAATCCCCCAGTTGTCCCAGCCTGGTTCCAGTGCAGAGGGGCTCTAACCCTGGAGCATCTCCCTGGGCTACTCCTGGTTCCTTTGGTGTAACTCTGCTGACCTTGGGCCAGTGACTAAATCCACCCCTAAATCAACACAGGGCTCCTGCACTGGTGACTTCCAGTGATTTTTTGATTTGTATTATTATTAGTATTATTTTTATTATGTATTTGTATTATTTTTATTATTATTTGTATTATTTTTACTATGTATTATTATTTGATTTTGAGCCCGGAAAGGGGGCTGCTTAATATTTTGATGGCTTTCTTCCACCATTGAAATTACATTTGAGGCTTAAGAATCAAAATCTCTCCTGCTTCAGAGTTCTTTATGACTTTCAATAATTTGTAATAAGTTTTATACCTTTGAAATCAAAGAGAAAAAGTGAATTCTGAGTTTATTATTATCATTCCATAGTCTGTCTGAAGGCCTCTACAGGCATCACCTCTCTCTGCATTCAGGACTTCAGCAGCATTTTGAAAAATATCCTCCAGACAATCAGAAAGTAGAAAACCCAGGCTAAGTAAGACTCAGCTTTTCTAGAAATTCAGCTCAGCCTCTGGGAAATGGAAGGTCTGTTGGAAGGTTCCCTGCCCATGGCATGGGGTGGAACCARATGATCTTTAAAGATCTTTCCAACTCAATCCATTCCATGAAAGTGTTAAAGGATATGGGGTAACCAACTCCACCACAGCAAATCTCTCATCAGAGGTTGAACAACCAGGTCCCAAGGTGATTTGCACTCAGGAACAGCTGAAAAACCACAGTGCTCCTCCAAATCCCACTGGAGACCAAGGAAATTTTTACATCAGATCCTGTTCATTTCTGCGCCAGAAAAATCCCAGAAACAGGAATCCTGCAACTGTCAAAGCAAGATTTTGGTTGGATACCTTGATACATACACTAGGGCCAGTCTGCCTGCTTTAAAGTGTGTGCCAAGGCTTGTGCTTCCACCTAAATCCATCATCCCTTCAGCAAGGCTCAGAAGTCATGGATTTTAGTGAAGGAGCAGCACAAAACTGGAATTAAGRGCCTGTTAAAGTTACATTAGCTCAGGGGTGTAACATAGCACAWGCATGAGATGTGAGAAAACCTCCAATCCTGCTTCAGCTTCCAGGGAAATGCAGTTGACCAAAGCTCTCTGCAGTACAAATCACACTCTGAGTTTGTTTGGGTTTGGGGTTTTTTTCCGAATGTAGCAATAGAGGTTTTCCAACTAATRACTGAAGAGCAGCAAAATGAATAAGGCAGGTAGATCTTTCCACTGAACAAAATAATAAATYTTTCCCCTGGAGCATCAGGACAACTGCACACTGATGCAGCCAGTGTCAGATTTTGCCCAGTATTTTGTAATAAAGGGTTATGTAATTCCAAGTCATTTATACTAATGGAATGTGGGAGCTACTGCAAAACACTCMAGAGGATCAGTCAGAAACTTCATCTGTGAGTGTGTCTGGCAACTTGCAAATACTTTCCTGTCTCTGAAATTTATGGTTATTAATGTCAGTGACATGGCTTGGCAGGCATAATCTCCAGTATTTCCAAGCCTTTGCTTCAAAATAACTATTCTTGATCAAGAAAATTAGGACAATCATTTCAGCTAGTATTTTTTATGGTTTTTTGGTTTCTTTTCTAAATTGTTGTATTGATTTACCATGAAGCTTTCTAAAGCTCAGCACAAAATGATTTCACATTACTCCAGCAACATCTGAAAAAAGCAGCACACAGTGCCAAAGARATGACACTGTAACAATTAGTGATGGAAATGTGAGGTAGGAAATTATCTTCAGTACAAACAACTCAACAATCAAAAATATGCATTTGATGAGCACAAGAAACAAAGAAAGTGTGACTCAGCTGGAGAAAATAAAACTCTCTTTAAATAAGGCACTAGATAAATGCCTAAATAAGACACTTTTGTCCATCACAGCAGCTGATGAAGGGAKTAGCCCCTCTCTGGGCTGGTTTTTACCTGCAATTGCTGCTCTGGGCAGAGGAGCTGAGGGAGCAGAGGGGCACAGGCAGAGTTCCAGGCAGGCGAGTGCTTCCTCCACSTTTTCAGCCATGGAATTTGTGCCTGCAGGAATAACTCTGCAAGCCCTGCTTTCSTGAGAGCCTCAACCTCCCTGAATCACAGGGAAACCCGAGGGAACCAGGGTGCTGCCCTTCTCCCAGCCACTGTTKGAAGAAACTCGAGTGCACACTCGAGTTTGAGTACACACAAAGCTTCCATATCAGGAAAATTTACAATRATGTGATTTAGAGAGCAGAATGGGATTCATGCACTGGACCTACCAAAGAAGTTACCACAACAATAACAAAGAAAGCAGTCRGGAGTTTCAAAGGTCCCTTGGGGACACAATGACTTCTACAAAACCAAAATCCAAAGAAAATCTCCTTGGAATCAGCATATGCTGCTCCAGTTCATGCCTAGTAAAAGAACTCTGTGAAAAAGAACAAAGTAGGACTGACTTACTTGTCCAGAATGAAATACAAATCAAATCCTCCGTAGCAGGCAGGACCACCATTCTCTCTCTTTCCACCGTGTCCATCGCAGGCGAGTGTAAAAATTGCTAGGAAGACACATTTGAAGCCAAATCTCAAGATGTTTTGCTTTGCAATGGCCATTATATCCAGTGAGGAGGAGAAAAAGAAATCTCTTCTTCCAAGGCTCCTTTATTTCACAGGTTTCTCCACAAAAGCCATTCAGTGACCTTTAAATGTATATATGTATATTGTATTCCTTAAAACTCCACTTGCAACAGTTGTCCTCGGGAATTGCAAGACTTTTCCCCTTGTTTCGCTTGCACTTCTGTTTCTTGGTTTCAGATTTCAAGATGCACAATACTGTATTTCACTTTTTTTTTTTTTTTTTTTGGGACTTGACCCTCAGTCTCCCTTGCAGTTCTCGGAAAGCAGCACCATTGTTTGGCAAGAGCAGGAGCAGCCTCCTCACAAATCTTGCTTTGTCACAGACTTCAGAAAATACAGGGAGGGTTTGTGGTTCCCCCCCTCCCTCCTTAATTGTTATTGTTATTAATAAAGATGGCAAGCTCTACTTTTCCTCAGTAAAAGAAGCTCAGAGAATGCCATCTCGTGGCCAAAACTCGGGCTGAGCACATTTGTGCCCTGAGCACATGAACAGCCCAGAGCAGCTCCAGGTACCGGGAGAGGCTCTGAGTTCTGTGCTTGAATCACAGCCTGGGCTGGGCTGGGCTGGGCTGGGCTGGGCTGGGCTGGGAGGGATCTTACAGCTCATCCCATCCCACCCCTGCCATGGACAGGGACACCTTCCACCATCCCAGGCTGCTCCCAGCCCCAATGTCCAGCCTGGCCTTGGACACTTCCAGGGATCCAGGGGCAGCCACAGCTTCTCTGGGCACCCTGTGCCAGGGCTTTCCCACCCTCACAGGGAACATTTCCTTCCTAATATCACATTTAACCATCCTYTTTCAGCTTAAGGCCATTCCCCCTTGTCCTGTCACTACCTCTGTTTCCCACACAGTCAAAACCTGAGTTTAAAGACCTTAAAAAACCTGGGGCAGCTTCACAAAGCCATGTCAGGTTTCATCCCTGGCATTTCCTCAGTCCTGAGAAATACTCAGCAGTACCTGTGCTTATGAACCAGCCTGCCTCAACTCACCACCCTTACCAAACTCATTTCARCCTGTAAAACCTAAATTGTCCCTCTTCCAAGAAAACTCAGTGGAAAACATAAATTCATCTACTCTCCCATCTCTTATCTCCTTCCACAAACAGCACCACAGGCTCTAAAACCAGAGCAGGATGGCTCAAAAGGAACACCATGCCCCAGGGAAGGAGCTCCTGTACCAGTAAAAGCTAAACYGGAGGAGCCAGGCACAGGGGCTCCCAAATTCCCTCCCAGACCTTCTCAGCCACAAAGCCATCCTGCCAAGTGCCAGCTCCTGGGGAGTGGAGCAGCTTCAGAGGGGGTTTCAGGGAGTTCAAGTGTGCTGAGTCAGGCTTTCCAGCTCTTCTGCACTGCTTAAAGCATTAAATTTGTCTTTAAAACATCCTTAACAAAAGCAAACAATCTGAAGGAGAAGCAGCAGGATGGGGTGCAAGGGAAAGTGATGAACTGTGGTGACAGACTTTGACAGAAGTGRAAATGTCTGAATGGCACATTAGTCAGGCACCCTGATGGCTCAGACTTTGGAGTGTTCTCCCTCCCACACCTGGCCATGCTCAGCAATTCAGCACCTCCACCACCCCCAATGTGGATAACAGAAACAAATCCTGACCAAAGCTGAAGCTCTGAGCCCCAGAAGAGCCCTTGGGAGCAAAGTTTCTGTTGGGCTAGACAGGGGCAGAAGCAGGGGTTTCATAGGTGAATACTCTGGACTTCCCACTTCAAGGGCAATTGGGAGTGCAGGAGCAAGTCTTTCATTTATCTCTTTCCATTTTTATATTTTTTATATAATTTTTATCTTTTCTTTATAATTTTTATCTTTTCCATTTATCTCTTGGTCTGAGAGGAGAGCAGTGACACAACTCACTGGTGCCCAGGGAAAGGATCTGTGCCAGATCTGTGCCAGGGGATCAGGATTCCTGCAATCCATGGAAATGCAGCAGTGTGTCCCACTGTGTGAGAGCCCTGTGCTGAGGCAGCTGAAGGGTGGCTGTCATGGTTTGAATGAATTTGATGGGAGCAAAACACTCCCAAGTTCCAGCAAACCTCTCCCTCTCTCTCTTTTCCCCACCCGGGTCCTGGAGACAAACATTTCCACAGAGAGGAAAGTGAAAAGAAAAGGGGAAAAAACTATTTATTTAGAATTATAAAAACAAAAAGAAAAACCTGTGGAATCAGCTGTTAGATCCCAAAGCCTTTCTCTTCCCTCCTGGGAGTAGCTTCCCCTCCAGGACCCCCAGAGGGGTTGGACAGAGTCTCTCTCCGGTGGTTCACTGAAGGATCTTTCTCGCCTGTCGTGCCACGGGAAAATCCTCCAATTCTCAGATGATGAAGAAAAAAAAAATTCGAGGAAAAACAAGTCCAAAGAAAGGGAGAAAAAATGAGCAGTACCAGAGAGCAGGCAGCTTCTTTTCCACTGCTGATCCCGAGAGAGAGCCTCCCCAGAAAAAAAACACGTGTCCTTTCCCTCCCATTGTCCTTGAAGGGAGGAACATCACCAAACAAACCAGAGCAGTCTCGACTAATGTATAGTTACAGAAGGGTTGTTTAACTTTCCTCTAACATAAGCAGATGACAGGAATACAATACTCAGCTACCCTAGGACAGTGGCCCTGCCCAGCCCCGGGCAGTCAGGATGTCAGGGATGGGCTCCTTTTTGGGGAGCTGTGAAAAAGATGGAGCAGACACCTGCTGGTTTGCAAATCCAGGTGATCTGCATGCTCAGACCTTCCCAGATCAGGCTGCTGGAGACACCAAAGCACAGAGCTGGAGCTCCTGTAGGCAGCAAARCTGTGCTAGGTCAGAAGGAAGCTTTGGGGGTTTTAAAGTTTTATGCAGCTCTTCTGGACCAAATCGGTTTGTAGTTCGAAAGCTGGAGTTACCCAARCCCTGGGGTTAGGCATGGAGAGTTTTGTGTCTGTATTTGAACGTTGTGCTGCCCTAAGAAAGGGAATGAGACTAGTCTGTGGATTTTGGTTTTTCTTTGTTTTGTTTTGTTTGGGTATTTTTTTGTTTTTGTTTTTTTGTTTGTTTGTTTTTTTTTGTTTTTGTTTTGTTTTTGTTTTTTGGTGTGTATTTTACAAGAAAATTAGCTCAATGAAGAATGTAAAGCGTGAAACGGTAGAAGAAAAGCGTCCTCTTTAGGGACTGATGTACTGGTTTTAAGAAATTTTGGAAAAGGACTTAGGGCCAGCTTCAGATCTGAGGTACAGATAAGACTCCTACCACAGTCAGATAAGTCTTGTTGTCATTGGTTTAGGAGCTCTGTCTGCCTAGAGATTAAAAGCACAGTGATAATTTCTTCCATTTGTTTCTCACTGGCCCTGAGATGAACAAATACTTTGAGTTTAAAAAACCCTCAGGAAAACAACTTTGGCATAGAGATAGCAGAGGGAAAGAAGGTGGAATGGTAGAGGAGATCTGRTTCTTTGTGTAGCTGTGGATTCAGACTGACAGAAGATTCAGGRAAACTTGGGGAAAAGCCAAGGAATGAAGCATCAGATGAAGCTGTGAGTGCCCTGAGATGGAGGGAGCTGCTGGCAAAGTGGAATAATGAATTTTTGTGCAACTCTGAATTTCTTGAGAACTAATCCTCTTCATATGCCCACCTCAAAAGTGTGTATTTTTKTTTATGATCTGGTAAGAGCAGCATCAACCTTCTGAGAAATGCAGCTCCATAACAGGAAGCTCATGTGAGACACAGGAGGGGTGCTGGAATTTCTGTGTGTCCCCCCCTCAATAAAAATGCCAGAAATAAAATGGAGGTTTTGTGTGAGAGACCTATCAGTGCTTGGGAAGACTGAATGTGTTCTAGTCTTTGTGTGAGAGACAATAATGAAGTGTTTTAATTGCATACAGCAGTGCAAGGTGTAATTAAGCTCCAGCTGGTGCCCTTGGTATGTGAACAGAATTTGCATATCTCAGTGATGATGGAAGGGGTGTCAGCAGATCTTGTWTTATCAGTTTGTGGGTCTATGGGACCTTCTCTGAAGCTCCCAGCTCAAGGAATGGTTCTGTCTGCCTGTGGGGACAGTGCTGCTGCTGAGAGGTGTCCCAGGATGGTTTTGGGAGCACCCTTGGGTGGCTTTGGGGTGGTTCCCTTGGGCTTCCAAATGTCTGACCTGTATGGTGGTCATGGCTTTTGTCAAGATGTAAAAATCATGTCCTCTGTTTCTAATGGCACTTCAGGAGGCTGTTACAGCATTGTGTGGAAGTTGCCCACACATCCCAATGTTATTATCACAATTAAATTATCACTGCACAGGAATTCCTGCCCAGTGTAGATGTGTCCTTAAAGTCTCTGGCTGTATCTTCAAGTGCTGGAATTGAGCACAGCTGTGCTGGTGCWGGCACTGCTACACTCCCTTGGTGSTGGGGGATAGCAGACTTGGCTGCATGTGACTGTGACCTTTTCCATCTCAATTGGACAACTCGAGACTGACACTCAGTGGCCAAGAGCATTTTTTTCTTCCCTGGACTGCTCCAATTTTTCAAGGGATCAGAGCTCCCTTGTCTCTTGCTTTTATCTGACTTTTCCCTGCTGTGATTTCATTTGCCTCTGCTGCAACATGCAAGGCTGCAACATTAATTTTTTTTGGTGATTCAAGTTTGTTCCATCAGCTTTTTTAACAGGGGCTGCTAACTCTGTGTATGGATGCAACTCTTTCCTGCAGGGTGTTATACTAAGAACACAGATGAAAATATATTGCTTGTAATATATTAAAGAAAATAGAAGAAAATGTCACAGGGAACAATGTCACCATAATCTGAGAAGGKGTCCTGGTTTAAGAAACCAGCCTGACTGGAAAGGAGTGGCAAAAATATCCCCCTGTACTGGCCAGGAGGCTCCATTTGTCCTTGGCATTGGGGCTGCTCAGATTAGTTCAAGCACCCAAAAYGGTACCAGTGGGTTTTTGGTATGGCTGCCTTGGAGGTGGAGGAAATTAAACAGCTCTGCCCTGCCTGGTCTGTTTTAGGACCTTTTTGCTGTGAAGGGTTGAAGAACAACACGTGTGGATGGCTCTCACAGGAGTGCAGCAGCACCAGCCAAGACCCTGATCCCATCCAGGATTCATCCATCACTTGGGGAGCCCAGGAGGGGTCAGCAGGACCTGCTCAGCCTTCAGTAATCCCAGGAGGTCAGAGTGAAAATCTGATGGAGAACAGAGACTAACAGCAGATTATTGTGTCTGACTGAAGTCCTGCTGCTTCTGAGTGCTGCTGTACTGGAAMTTCAACAAGAACTGGAGCCAGAGGAGCCCAGTGTTGTGCCACAGCTGACATTGCTGGTGTGTTTTTCCCAGTCCCTTTGGTAGAGGGTGCAGGCCACAGTTCGTTTTCACTTGGAGRGGCATCCAGTACACCTGGAATTGACTGTCCTGGGGTGGAAACCTCTCCACCCTCTGCCTTGGGCTGATCCAGACCTCATCAGAAAGTGGTGAGGCTCTGCAAGCTCCACAGTACACTGGTGATTCTGCTGCCTAAAAATCAGGCTCACCTGAAACAGAGGCCAGACAGACTWAAGAGAATGAGAATAGACAACTTTAATACAGGCCTAACAGCCCTACTGGTACATTAGGGCAGACAAAAGCCTCCTCCTGAGGCTACACMMAAAATGGAYACTGARTCATGAGATCTTTCCCTTTTATAAGTTCTGTCTTATTAACATATTGGGCCTCAATCYCCCAGTGATATCTTCAGGTGATGTCAACCACCCCAAATTTGCTCSCCCCCAATTCTCTGTTGTTTCCATATTYTGGGGCCCTGAGGCAGTGARGTGTCCTTGGATTTCAGGCTCAGAGAGGAATTGTTTTATCTAAAGATGGGAGAATGGTAGTTTTTAGTGCTATAATAGAGAAGTATAAGAATACAGATGCATGAAATGCAGAAACTAAAGATCCTAAGGCATCAATTCCATCCTGGGAGGATTCCATCCACAGCAGAGATTGTGCTGGAAACCCTCTGATGGTTCAGCTCTTGCTGAGTTGTGCTCACTATCAATCAGGGACTCTTTACTGTCTCATGTTCTGCCCATGAGGAGCTGCCCAAGGGAGCAGAACYAGGACAGCTGAGCTGAACTATCCAAAGGGATGTTCCCCACCACAGAACACCATGCCCAGTRTCYAAACTGGRGCAGTGGCCTGTGAGCTGCTGGGGGACAGGCTTGGCATCACTCAGGGATGGTGAGTGATTCCTCTGGCCATCACTTGTTCCCCTTGGGTTTTTTTCCTTTCTCTCTCTCTCTCTCCCTCCCTCTTTCCATTAGTATTGTTGCTGATGCTGTTTCTATAATTAGCACTATTAGTAGTATTGTATTTTATTTTGTTCCAATTATTAAACTGYTCTTATCTCAAGCCACRAGTGTTACTGTTTTTCCTGATTCTCCTTCTCATGGGGTGACAGTCCCCTTGGGCTGGTGTTGTGGGAAATAGGGCTCTGTAATAAGGCCCTGCACTACTCTCTGTCTTCCCTCCTCTCCTCAGCATTTCATGCATATTTATTTTTGTTTGCCATTACCCATTTCCAAGCACTTGGCTAGCCTAGAGCAGCCTTGCAGCCCTTCTGCAAGGGTGGGCTTTTCTTTCTAACTCAGGCAAAGAAGGACATGACAAGGGCTGAATGATTGTGTTAGGGCACTGTATAATGAATAAAAAGAAATTAAAATCTCTCCTAAACTTGATTCTCTCCCATTTACTTTCAGACTGCACAAAATGAAAGCTGATAGTCTGTGAGGGAATTAAAAGAAWTTGTGTAATATCAAGAAGGAAGGAGAAAGGCAGCAACAAMCTCCTGCCTGTGTCTCTCCTCTGCTAGGACTGATGTGAGCTCAGCCAGGTAATTCAGATGCCTTTGCCTCAGTGAACTCTGCATGCTTYCAATCTGCTACAGAATAAAGCCTCTGGGGCCAGTGAGAGGCCATCAGCAAATGAGGGATGTTGTGTGATTGGTATTTGTATTAAAGACAGATTTGTGTTGACCTGGATAACCTGGGGTATCCTGGCATTTTTGTTAGAGAAGAGGAAATAACTCAATCTGGATTGTAARGATCTGAGCAACAGGAATCCCAACCTGGCTTTATTTTAGGAACAGAACAACTCTGTACATCCCACAAAGGAGACCCTGCTTCCCCTAAAAAAAAAGGCAAATTCATTGCTTTGCTCTTTTTTCCTTCTGCCTTTTGTTCCACATGAATTAAGATTTTAATGTGAGGCATCTTTCCCTGAATGGGGAAGGAAGGTTTTAGCTCTGAATGCCTAGTTTGTACTTTACACACCCAGGGGCTTGCCCAACTCTCTGGGTGTGCTGAGAGCTTGCAATGAAAAGAGCAATTAAAGGGTTCAAATGGGGCAAAATATTATTCTGGAGGTGTTCATAGACAAAAAAGGATAGAGTAATGACAAACATGGGGGAGTTAATCCATGATGAAGCAATTTAATTGATAGCTCTGGTGACCAGTTGATCTATTTCAGTATGAAATCCTCAAAAAGGAACCTCTTGAAAGAGGAGATGCCAGAGTATAACAACTTTAGGGTTGGCTTTGCACAGCAGCTACAAAGCTGCAGCTGGAGCATCCACACAAAGCTCAAGGAAGGTGTGATTTTCACACGTAGTTACTGTTATGACAGTACACGAGGGACAAATACTGAAGGACATCAAGTCTGGTACATGATCTGAGATCGAATTGTGGTCCTTTAAAAACAAGAAAAGAAAAACAAATGTCATAAGATATAGACTAAGATACTGTTAAGTGCTCTTTGCATTCACTCACTGACCTTAACACYCAGCATATTGCACTGCCTTTTCAATCAAACTGAGCCCCCTCAGGTGCCAAAGCAATGCTTAAAGCAAAGCAAGTAGTGAGCAGGTGGAAATGCTGCTTATGCCAGAACAACCTGAGCCTCAGCTGTAAAGCATCTTTTCATGACAGGGCTGGAGACGATCAGCTGGCAGGAAGGCTCAGAATCCTTTAATGGTGCTCTATGATTAGTTCCTCTGAGTAAAATGTAGTTTGCTTGGATATATTTAAAACAAATATGGTTTTTTTCCCCATCAATACAAGAAATTGCATTGAAAGTGATCAAATTACAATCAGGGCACTCACAGCAACTAAGCTGATTTATACCCACCTCCATAGCAATGGAGACTCTTCTACAAGGGTGCATTTTTGTTGCTCAGAGTGAGCCAGCTTTGGAAGAGTTGCTGCACTAGCAATGCTTGAGCAATGGTACGAGGGGCACATCCTCTTGGAGTCCCTAAACAGCAGTGGCTCCGTGGCTCAGCACGGAATGCCCCACAAAGACGTGCGCTCAAACAGCCCCTGCGACTTCCCGTGCAGGAATCACGGCTCTATTGCACACGCTCCCGTGAGTCCCCGTGCCTGGGCATTACAAACTCAGGCTGGTGCCAGTTCATGGGCCCAGTCATGTGGACTGCGGCATTCCAGAAGAATCCTAGGAGGTGCAGGTCATTAAACACCTGCGGAACTTGATCATTCCCCCTGGGAAAACCCACCCAGAAGAAAGCCGTTAGGCTTAGTTTTGTGAAGCATGAAGGTTTGGTGGCTGCCTCGGTCAACTCGGCAGCAAGCTCTGAGCTGAAGGACAGTGGTTCCTAGCACAGCCCTTTCTCTTTTCCTGGCCATTGCACAGGAGTTCAGTATGGGTCAAAACACTCATGGCCAAAACTAAAGCCCCCTTAAGATTCCAGGGAAGGTGCTGGAAGGCTTTGGTTTGGGTCAGATATGGCAGCTGTGGCACCTCCCTTCTCCAGTGCTGAGCTATAGAGATGTGGAACCCTTTGTGCACCTGCTGAAGGCCTTGGTTTCTGCACTTCTCACAACAGAAGAGCAGCAGTTGTGCCTTGGTCATTCCTTGAGAGAAAAACACGCCAGGTCAGTAGCACTAAGAATTGCCTTGCTTGCACTCACCGTGAACTTCGTAAGCCACGTAGGTGATGAGTCCTATGCATGTAGAGAAGGTGTCTGGTCCATATGATTCAAGGTCACGAATTGTTCTCTTGACGAGGGTGAATGTGATCTCCTTTGTAGGSGGTCTTTGATGATGCTGGTTCTAAACATCAAATATCGGCATTCAGCAAGATCAGTGCCCTGATCCATTTAATTCCAGGCATATTCCCAGTTTTAGTTGCTATAAACATTATAAGAATAATCTAAGTGAGCTGTAACATTGGCAAAACTTGAAAACTCTCCATTGAAAGCATGTGAACTAGAACATTCCAATTTGTCAAACTCTTCAAGTTGCATTGTTGTAAAATATCATTGAAATTCATAAAAATATCTAATTAATGGTGTGATGAACCTGGTCCTCACAGTGTCTATTGGTTTTCAAAATAGCAGGGTGTCACATGTAAGTTTACTTTGCATTAAGTACACCTTCTTTACAAATAACTGCTCTATTTCAATCTTACCCTGCTGTCTGCAGCCAGCTGGGGAAGTGCATCAAAGCTGGGCATCTCTGTTCTGTTCATTATGGAAATGTAGCAAGCTCTCTCGGGCAGCACTTTGGTTGCCATAAAGCCCTGTAAAATGAAGTTATTGACCATTTGGAATATATTCTTTCAATCATTAATACTGGAATTATGTACACATTAAAAAAAGTAATAGAACAATTTTTACTGGGTGTATGAGCCCGTGTTCTCATCCAGTCTCTGGACAAGCACGCTCCCTGCTGCTCACCGTGTCATAGTTCCAGATGSTTTTCCAGGAGCCACGGTTGGTCTTTTGTTCAATACTTGCCACGAGCCATTTTCTATTGATGGTCATAATTTGGTAGCCTCCACCAATGGAGACTTTTTTCTTTACTTCCACCTGTTGATGCCAGGAAAAGAAATGAAAGAACACTTGGGCTTTCAAGTGATTAACTCCCCAAGGCTTTAGAAAAATGAAAGATTCAAGGAGATCTCATGAATCAGGGAATACAGAAAAGCAGCCATGTGGAAATTGTTCATTGTACTCACATGATCAGCAAG